GATGTAGCATGACGGGGTTCGACGCACCCAGAGACATCGGATTGCCCGGCCCCAGTAGCCAACTTATCAATAGTCACCCTGGGCGCATAGTGACTATCGCAGTCCTGATTATCCTGGGCGACGACTGAGCCAGTATAGAATACCCGAGCCAAACTCATCATGCTTATTTTGGCTCGTCTTAGTCACCTTCAACGGAAGGCCCTATAACATGGCACGACCTGAGATACTACGATCTTCCGCATCACTGGGGTCCATCCTCGCGACGTGGACGCGCGAACCATGGAGGATTTGCATATATCTCACCATACAAAACCCGGTCATATATTCTCATCCCATTTGGTTTATAATGTGGTATTTGACTCTACCTAAATCTTGAATGCCAGATGGAGAAAATCAACGAAATAGATAGAAACAATTAAAAAAGTCCAATAAATTCCAAAAATGGTGGTAACATATGTTTATGCTAAAACCTTTTGAAAGAGCCCTGTAAGTTACCTTCAAATTTATGGGAATCATATAAGACTTAGCAAAAGTGCTCCTATGAGCCATTTTACACTGGCACAAGCATGACATTCGGGCACAATGTGGTGTAGAAGGTACTTGGAGTACTGAAGACTTCCTTGTGATCACGTTCATAATATTTCGCTTTGTTTGTCTTTGTCTTCTTTCATACCAAATTTTCCACTATTCGAATCTCAATGATCTCAGTGAATATGGAGATGAATCAATTTACCAAAGTGACTGAGAACTTCATATGTTAATATGTATGTGCGATGCGGTGTTTTCCTCCTCACAAACATTTCCAAAACGCGTATTGCTCAGAGACTTTAGTAAGGACTCTTCACAATTGCGGAAAACCAGCTATTGGTGAAGATGAACTAAATATTGTAACGATCGCTACCCTGGCGTGGCCGGTAAGAATAAATTACAAGAGGTATTTATGATCTCACTGGCAAACTGCCTTATCGTTACTGATTCAGAGAATTTGCTCCCTTTGGAAAGGTTCGTAGTGGTCGATACTGAATCAATTACCTTGGGCAATGGTTCTTAAGTAAACCAGGCTTCACATAGATTATATTTATTCTAATTTTGCTACCTAACATACAGTTCCAAATGCAAGAAGATACCAGAGATATTTATAGTCAAACAATGATCTAATGTCCTCAGCACAACCAAGCAAAGGCGACAGGTTTAGTTCGCAAAAACACAATGAAGTTCTGAGAAAAAAAAAACAAAAACTAGCTCACCATCGATACAGCAGCGCTCGCACCTTCTCTAGTGACTTATTGAAATCAGGGCTAATACGATGAAATCGAAAGTGGTTGCTCGGGCTCCAACCGACGCACGCCCACTCTCCGATCTCTTCCTTGCTATTTCTGATCGTTCCTTCCGGCTTCAACCATCAAGGAACAGGATCTGGCTCCAACCGGATCCGCCTAGGTCCGACTTCAACCAGCACTTAGGTACACGGCCCCAACCGAATAGAAATAGCCAGGTTCCAGATTACAAACGGGACCCTAGTCCTGACACTTGGTGACAGTAGCGAAGTAAGGAACACTGTCCACTCACCTCCTCCTCTTTTTCGGAAGTTCGAGGTCGAGTTTATATAGTGTTCCTTCTCATTAGTCCACGTCACGGCATGTCGAACAATGAGTATCTGGATGACTAGACGAATGCTACCACATCAATAATAATGCTTTAATGAAGTGGTTCTCCGGACGAATGTCGATTCCTTTTGACGCATGTCTTGAAGCGCCATACATCAAAAGGATGTATGCCAGGATCTGTTGGGGATGGAAGGATCTATTTAGGACGCTCTGGGATGACCCTTGCTACTTGGGGTGGGGATGGACAGGCAATGGCTGAATGGCACACAGTCAGTGTTCGATTGTGCGGCAACGCAGTTTTGTTTCTTGTAACGGCGCTCGAGAGTGTCCGAGGGAAGCCTAGAGAATGATCAAGGATGCTAAGAGACTTCCGTATGAGAAAAATTTGGAAGATCTGGGTTAGTACTCACTCGAGAGAAGGTTAGCGATGGGGAATCTCATTCAGGCGTTTAAGAGCATTAAGGGAATCTAGTTATGACAGAAACTTTCTACTTGTAGGGATAGTGAACGCGTGGAATGCATTAAGTGACGATTTAGTGGCTGCAGCTACTGTCACTAGCTTTAAAGATAGGCGTGATTGATTCATGGACAAAAAGGAAAAAGGAAGCATCGTAGTTTCAAGTGACGAAACAATAAATGGCTTTGCTCTCCTCGGCCCCCCCCCCAAAAAAAAAAAGAAGATTTAGGACTTGTAGACCTGTCTTACGATTATCAGGACACTCGACTTCGACCCGGGACGTCATAATGGGCAGCTACGTCTCGTGTCTTTCTCACAACACCTTGAACCTTGAAACAGGAACTTCCAAGTTTGGACGATTGGTTCGACACTGATTATACTGCAAGCGGAATGAAGTTGAACGTTCTCGAAGCGCTGATTCTGGTCCTCTCGAGAAATCCTGTACCGCACACCCTACAGGTTAGTAGAACCCCACTTAGACAAGAGAATACATATAAGGACCCTTGGGTCTGGTTCTCGAATGACGGGCGAATCGAAAATTTGATCGAGAATCATTTTCAAAGTCAGTATGCCTCTCAAATTTTCCCGTGTACTAGTTCCATACCTAATACCTATAACTTCCCCAATACCCCAATACCTACGCCTTCACTAGTTTCTCACATCATAATACCGTGAGGGGAGTTCATCATATGTTGAAAATTTCAGAAAATAACATGAGGGGAGTTGATCATATTTTGAAAATTTCAGAAAATATATTTTTTCTCCAAGATCACTTCGAAATCATTCATGAACTATGGCTCTTGACATTCCTGCAAAGAAGCTGAATATTTTAACATATACCGCTATACAATAACCCGTATTCTGGATCTGGTTCGTTAACAATATGTTCTCGTCTAATTTAGCTGAAGATTAAGTTTTGATGAACATTGAGTTGTTTTTTGAGGAGTGAGCAACTATTGGGGTAATATGGTCCCTTGGGACCAACTTGGAAAGGATTTAAAGCCACTTTATCCTTGTGTCTTTTTGCATGTGCCTTGGTGTTATCGAGTAAATGAGAAATATATTAATATTATCCAAACATTACAGAAGCCAAGTTCGACCTTCATACGTCTTTAAGTGCAGGTTTCAATTTTCAGGGCCGCATCCTTCCTAATTATCTTATCCACCGATAAGGGGAAGCTATGTATGTTGTTTGCCCAGTTTCAGATATGACTCAGATAAGTTATATATTTACATCCCCCCCGTGCCCTTCATTCTTTCTTTGTTCCTTTTCTTCTCATTCCCAGGAATAAAGTGAACATTCCTATACTACTGCACCATTGACTTCCATCCATCCATAGCACACACAAGGTATATTTATCTCAGCCCCTTTCTCTCACAGAGACGAAAGTATGTAATTCTGGAGAAATCGAATTCGCAGAAACAAAGCATAATTTAACCCAACGATTTCTCTTTTACCCAGAACTTAATCGGATATGTATTGCATTAAGCCCAGAGGAATAAAATATCACAAAAGGGGCACTTCAGGTCTTACCATTCCTTTTTCCTTTTGCGATATGTCCAACAACGAAGAAGAGAACAAAGTACAATGGGTGATGATCGGTTAAACCAATTTGCGTATTTACGTAATAGTTTATGACTTCGTCGAAATGAACAGTGCGTTAATGAACTAATTTAGGATCGATCTTCCTGGCATCTGGAGGAAATTTTACCCAGATATTAATGAAGGATTATTTGCATGCGTGAATAATTTCAAATAGCCTGTTTATTCAATTTTCAAAATATGATAAATAGTTAAATGAAATCCCCTCATGGTATTATGATGTGAGAAGCTAGTGAAGGCGTAGGTATTGGGGTTTTGGGGAAGTTATAGGTATTAGGTATGGAACTGGTACATGGGAAAATTTGAGAGGCATACTGACTTTGAAAATGATTCTCGTCCAATCTTCGCCACATCATGGACTAGGAAACGCCAAAAGAGGAATTATCGATGATGCGAAAGGTCAATCATTTGGATTTTTTATAGTTCCAACTGCATATTTCAAGAACAGTAACAGTTCGCCCTAAAATATTCACATGCTTTACGATTTAATTTAATTGTAAGGCACTGTCTTTCGGAACTCAATAACAATGACGAAGTATTCTAAAGGTTGGACACTGCAGACTTGTAAATACGAGTACACATACTGCGGTCACGCAAATACAATAACTCGAACAAAGTTGGCAATCTTGCGGGAAAGTTCACAATGCGATATAAAATGAAAGTGGAGCAGATCATTTCGCATCGACATGGTCAACTGCATCCAGTAACTCGGCCATTACCCATTCAGTCTTGATGTAGGTGCTGCCATGTAGGTGATAGGAGGGTCCTGTCCCTCGTGTACAGGGGTAGAATCTGCATTCGCAGCCAAGGCCTTTATGGGTTAACATCGGTTGTATCGAGGTAAATATACTCTTTCCCATGGAAACACTCCAAACAACAGTTTGGAGATACATGCCCTTGGGGTACACATTTTGGGGGGAGAAGTTTTTTAATATATATATCGTGATGGATAAGGATGTCATCGAGAAATCCTACTGTATGTCGCCGTTTCGGTGGTGTAGTGGTAGCACATCTAACCGGTAATCGTGAGGCCAGGGTTCAATTCCCGGCCATTCCAAGCCTTTTTTTTGGCTTCTCTTGCCTTCCATGTCCCGTTGCTTGAATAAAACGGAGAGGCATGGAAAGCTGAAACGTGGCATGGACGTGCCTACCGACACGATGAGTTCAGGAAAAATGCAACACTTTAGATCCATGCCCTGGGGGCATATTTTTGTGGAGCCGACGTTGTCAAGTATTTTTTTGTCCTGGCGTATTGAGCTAGTGTGGGAAGATGGAACTTGGTACACAATTACCTACCGGAATGCTGCTTGCAGAAAATTTCAGACTTTGGAATGAAATGCCCTGGGGGCATGAATTTCAAAGGGTGAGGTTTTCAGATTTTTTTGCATTAGTTAAACCAATGGACATGGAAAGCTAGAACTTTCCAGGAATGTGACTACCAAGATAAGGAGTTAAAGAAAAATGTTAAGTCTTGATATCTGATACATCCCTGTGGGAAAATTTCTCGAGGGGCGATGTTTAAAAAAAAAGAAATTGTCGTGGCGATTTGGACATAAGTGGAAAGGTGAAACTTGGCACACGTATAAGTAACGTTATATTATTGAGTTGAGGGAGTATTCAGCTTTCATGGTGCATCCCCTGCGGGCATTGTTTTGGGTGGGTCGGCCTTTATCAAACATGGTTTTTCACCAGCGAAAAGGGCAAACGTTTAAGATTGACACTTGGTGGTCATGTAGTTCACTGAGGTTTGATTTCGGAAAAAAAGGTACTTTTCAGTTAAAACGCCAGAATTTTCGGATCCAGCAAAACGGAGGGTGCTAGAAATTTTAAACTTGGCAAGGAAGTACCTGATGAATAGATGAGTAAAGAAACAATTCTACGTTCATATTATATATGAAAGTAGAGATCGTGAGTAGAAAGAAGATCGTGAGTAGCTGACTGACTGACATAAGTAGCTTTTCACATGCTGAGTTCAGGAAAAAATCCACTTTGGTGATGCATGCCATAGGGGCACAACTTTTCGGGGAACATACTTTCAAATAGTTCTCTTTGCTTCAATCAGAGACCCATGGAAAACTGTAACATGGCAAGAACGTGACTGGTGAAGCACTCAGCTCAAATGTCAAATGTCAAATTTCCGAAAATTTCCGGGAATATTTCTTGGGGACGTAATGATTTCACATAATTTTTAATATCCTAGCGAATCGGGCAGAAATAGAAAAATAGCAACTGGCGCACGCATAACGGGCGTGATGTTGATTTAAGGAAGAATTCAACTTTTGCTAAACGTCTCCCCAGACCACAGCATTTGGGTGGGTTGTTTTTCCGAATAATTTTTTTACCGCCAGCAAAAAGGGGAAAAATATAAGGCTGAAACTGGGTGGCACGTACTTCCCTGAGTCTATACTACGGAATAAAAATGAATTTCCAAAATATTTTTGGGGTTCATATTTCTTGGGGATGTAACGTTTCCAAAGAATTTTTCATATATTACCGAATCCGGCAGAAATAGAAAGTAGCTGGCGCACGCATAACAGCCGTGCTGTTGATTTAAGGAAAAAGTCAACTATTGTTGTGCGTCTCCTCAGAGCGCAGCTTTTCGGCGGGTCGTTTTTCCAAGAACGTTTTTTCTGCCAACAAAAAGGGGAAACGTATAAGGGTGAAATTTGGTGGCATGGAGTTCCTTGAGTCTACATTTCGTAAGAAAAAATATTTTCGTTAAAACCCATCAGGGCATTTTTTCAGTCCCATTTTCCTGAATTTGTTTTTGATCCAACGAAACAGAAACAGAAAATTTAAACATCCCTCAGATGTGCCTGTTTGATGGCTGAGTAAAAGAAAAATCCTACTTTAGAAATATGTACCATTAGCGTAGATTATAGGAGGGAAGTANCATCCCCAAGAAATATGAACCCCAAAAATATTTTGGAAATTCATTTTTATTCCGTAGTATAGACTCAGGGAAGTATTTCAAAATGTATTCTCCACCCTTACAATAAGGGGCACAAGAAAAGATTTCAAGTTAGGCGCAACAGAAATCATACGAGGTATAAGTAAAGATTTTGATAAAAATCAAGGCTTTTGTCCCCATATACCACGTATTTCAATGGGGACGTACTTTAAATACGTGTTTCCCATTTCGCTAGGAATAAATGAATTAATGACTCTACAAGGTAATGGAACGCCGAAGGCGCAACCATATTATATGCAGATGCACTGCTAGCATTTATCATGTGTGGATGGAAAGCAATGCTCGTACGTTTGAAAATGGATACAGATTAATGCAGTTAGTCCCTTTTGCGCCTCCCTGTATCAAACGGTAAGCATTAGCATGAAATTAGCCTCTTACAACAATTATTGCTGCTAGGAATCCATGGAAAATACAAACTTGGTCATAATAGAAGAATCCTCGAAAGACTTCAATCTTTCAAAATCGCTCAAGGAAAAATATCATCTCATTCATCTCATTATGAGCTAATTTTCAACTATTTCCTTCAGCTGACAAGAGTTGTGAAATATTCCCAATCAATAATGAATGACATAAATGTCTCATTGGCGTAAAAATACACAAATGTGCATTTTTATCGGCACCACCACATCATTCCCTGTGATGGGCAAATCAGGTACGAAAAGCAAAATGGCAAGGTGCCTACATATCAATACAATATAGTAAAAAGAGACGGGCCAGGTAATGAGTCGGAAGTTCTATCAATTGATGGAAAATAATATCAAATGAGGTGGACAGTTAGTAAAAATCATAAATATTTCAGTTCCTTGTAAAAGAGCAGTTATAAGTTCAAAATGTTGATGAAGATGGTCTTTTTTGTAGAGCCAAAATCACCTCCAGCACATGTGATGGCCAAATACCTGACCGAGAAAAGTCTGATGATTCGGTGGATGAAACCTAACACGAGTTTCGACACCCCATGGGACATTCGCAGGACGGAGAAAACGAGCGTGAGAGTGAGTTCTTTAATGTTCAACAAGTTGCTTCACATTTGTAGCGATTGCGTCGTAAATCCTATCCATTATTCCTCGAAGCCGATATGCTGAGTAGTTACGGAATAAAACCGCACCCAAAGAAAAAATAAATAAAGGAAAGATGTTTGGCAATGTAACGCATTTGGAAATGGGAACATACGTATGACGTACAAAGGAATGAACGTCGAGGGTAGGAAAGTAAAGCGTTGCTTTCTAGAGACGCACTTTTTTGTTCAATATCCGATTGATTTCAAGTAGGACCAATAGGACACAACAAACGTACCGGGTGACCAAAAAAAAGTCAAGCTATTAACTTCAACATGCTGTAAATCAGGCTGCACGGCCTTGATTTGAATGGGCACACACTTAGCAACTCTTTTGCGGCATACAAAAAATTACTTGTTATGATATCGCGAGTTTTCGTTTCATCAGGGCCGCCTCCATTTGGAAAACTGCTGCAACAGGCCCCACCGGCCGTTGGAGTTGAAGCACCCACAGCTGTTGTCAATAAGAACACATTTCATATTCTGTATCAATGTTTTAAGATGTGTTTCTTCTAGGGCTGTACCGGTGGCCACATTTGCCCGGCGGGCCGAGGCCGATTATTTTCTCATTCCTTTCTGCCGGTACCGGTGCCGGTGCCTATCGTGACGTGTAGAAAAACAGCAAAAAAGCATTTTAAAATTTTTTAAAAGTCAAATAGACATATTACGAATGCCAATTCAATTTTATTATTGCTTCCACTCTGGGTGTTCCGAATAAACCCATGTATCGACCTGAAACACCGATAGTGCATCGATGCCGGTGTGGGGTGGGGGTGGGGGTGTCGGCGGATTCAGTCTTTTTTTCGCTGCGATCGGGATCACGTTTCTGCCTCGTTTCCGCAGCTTCTTGCCTCGATCAGGACGCTAACCGCCTTCCACGATCTGTCGCCTGTGATTGGAGGAGTTGGCAGGAGAGGTGTGACCTTTGCGACGGTGATAAAGCCTACCATACCTCAACTATCGAAAATGACATCAATACATCGATAACATCAATGCAACTGCGATAGCCCTAATTTTTTCCAATTGCCATTGAGAATCGGTTACTGAGTCCCATTCACGTGGTTTTTTTTTGTTCATCGTTCAGCACGTTCTTCTTTGAACATCGGCGCCGGCCTGTTCCAAACCTGCCGATGGCCGATGTAGCCGATAGTCCAACACCGGCGACCAACACCGGTGTTAGCCGATACATTGGTACAGCCCTAGTTTCTTCCTTTCCCCACATTTTTTTACTAAAGCAAAACAATACCGAACTACTTCTATGAAGGCCTTGCATAGATGAAGAGCTTGAGAGTTGATCAGAAGGTAAAAAAATCATGAATGAATTTCATGGTGGAAGATTCTTCCAGGTTGATCTTCCTGTTTCAACACGCGCATTTCCACTTTTTCAGCGTTTTCCTTTTCTGTTCTTTTCCTATTCTGGGGCTCTCACTACTTTGTTTTCGACTTGCTGATCCACTCTCTTCAATTTTCCGAATGATGCCCTCAAGACCACTTATTGGCCAATTTTGGTTTTGAACAAAATTCGTTCATCATTCTTTTGGCTTTCCATCCCTTTAAAACTCACAAGTGTTTCATGACCGCTAAGACTCCATGCAAGGATGTCGGTACTGTTTTGCTTTAGTAAAAAAAAAGTGAGAAAAAGAAGAAACACATCTTAAAACATTGATACAGAATATGAAATGTGTTCTTATTGGCACCAGCTGTGGCTGCTCTTACTGAAACGGCCGGTGCGGACTGTTGCAGCATTTTCTCCCTAATGAAACAAAAACTCGTGATATCATAGCAAGTAATTTTATGTATGCTGCAAAAGATTTGCTGTGTGCCCATTCAAATCAAGGCCGTGCAGCCTGATTTACAGCATGTTGAAGTTAATAGCTTGATTTTTTTTCGAGCCACCCTGCAGAATCAGCGTTGTGAACGCTCATTTGTTACCTTTCCCAGTGTTGGCGTAGGATCCACATATTGTGACGCCGCTAATAGTAATACTCATATACATGTTGACGTTCAGAAACAGTTGAATATTCGTCCAGCATTGCATTTACATTTTGCTAGTGCTGTATAAAAGATACATTAGAACCTTTCCAAGTCTGGAGTAGTGCTTTTTTTGAACATTGAGCCAACATTGTAGTGCCTCTTGGTGGAAGACTTAAAGGACACATTGAAGTTCAACATTGGTTGAGTGCTCCGCATCAACCACAGACCGATTCCATATCAGTGCTAATTTCGAACAGTGACTCAACATTGTAATAGTAATTATCATCATAAGAACACCCAAGCACATTTTGAAATAGTTCCTCTGTTCAGGAAATCATATATTCAAAGTGAGAAAATATTGTATTTGAGGTTCCCATCGTATGAAAGGGATGTGCATGGATCAAGGACCCACAACAATACTTTCAATAATAATTACAATGGCATGAGTTGTGCAAATGTGATACTGGAGAAGTTCAATTTCTTGTAGACTGGACTGTTTCAAAAACAGTCTACCTATGCGAAAATGAAGAATGAGCAAATTTGAGCTTTTTGGGGGTAACCGAAGTAGAAGGTTGGTATCTGGATTTTCGTCTCTCTTTCTATACGGAGAAATTGAAAACAGTGATTTGGAATGTTATAGATTCCATTGTGCGGAACACTGCCCGCCAAGTTAATGAGGATGACGGTCTTCATATTTGAAATGAGGAAGTGCACTTTTCAGGCAGTTAAGTGAATATACAGTATTACCTGTCCATACATGGTAATATTTTGTCCTTGCACAGGACTGTCCACCTTCGGCATGAGTAGTGACGGATGTCAATGATGGACATGAAACCACTATCCACCTTAAGGTACAGCAACGGAACGCTATGAAAGCCTATCATAAATATTCCTGTTATGTTATGTAACAGTATGCAGAATTACTCTTAATTACCAGAATTTCAACTCAAAGAAGGAACTTGATATTGATTCATCCTCAGGGTAAGAGTATACATAATGGGTCGTGTTAAACCTGAAAAACAATGACACAGTTTGAACCATTCCCCTAAACATGAGTTCCCCATGGAAATATCTCAATTCATATGAGAGAGCTCAAAAGATATCTTTAGAATTGACATTCCTGTTCATATGAAGGAATGTTATGAGCTTTAAGCTTCAGGATGATATGAATTGGCATGCAGATTTGCTCGTAATTCATTATATGCTTCTCCTGAAGAAGGGAATCTTATCAGACTTCACCAACCGAATTGTAAAATTGGCAACCGTTAAGATACCTAATTACAGCCGATATGTTCATGGAAAATGTGTTGAAATCAAATACATATTTCAAAATAAGGTGAGATAGTGGAGGTTTCTATGCAAGAAGAACCCAGAAAAAAAGCTGGAAATAACTCTGTACTGAAAGAGTTAACTGGGATAGGTTATTGTGATGATGATTGCCATGAGTCTTCCTCTTTTTTTCCTTCCTGAAACCCCAGGCGTACAAGGTGTACTATACGAGCAACCCCGACCTGGTGATGACGGAGTGGTCGAGCATGATGGAGAGTTCATATCGCACTTGGGGGGGGTTTACCATAATCAGTGACTTGATGCCTTTAACCGTCTATACCGTCCGTGTCCAGGCATACACCAACAACGGGATCACCCCGATATCATTGCCTATTCAAGTAAAAACACAATACCGAGGTATGTAATAATTATTTCCCCTTACGCCACATACGTGACAATGTAAGGGGAAAAAAGCAAAAATTACACGACCGACGCTGGAAATGGTTGATGTGGAGGCGGTAGAGTATTGACGTACACAATGAGGTACTGAATGTACCCCACAGAGAGACTACATTTCATTTACTGGAAGAAAACTTATTATATCACTGCTCCATTTTCTACACGTTATGCAAAGATTGAATGAGATCCCCGAAAGAGGAGGGATCGTGCAGGTGCACGAATTTCAACGTATGGATCTGTACTCTAGCTGAAATTTCTTTCTCTATATATTTCGCTGCCATCATTTTCTTGAGGTGAAACGCCAAACTCTCTATTCCTACAGATTTGACACCGTCATGAATCACGTTATTCAACATTAGGAATAAAATGATGGGATTCAGTGTATAAGAGAAACAGCTGGTCAAAGGCTTCCTAGAGATTAAGGAGTATCGCTCTCCTTGGATCTCAAAGAATTCTTCTTAAAAGAAATGTTCATGTCATGGTCTCGTTTCAGTCCTATTTATGACTGTATAGGACTGAAACGAGACCATAACATGAACATTTTTTGACTGGTATCAGCCATAGTGCAATGAAATTCCTGGGAATGGAAGTGTTGAAGGAAGAATTGCCCATTCTTAGACACAGTATTTGCTACGTCAATACACCACCGCTCCCACCTCCACCGCCCGTTGAACATAGAAAAAAGTGTGCGTTTCACAAAGTAAACAGTGCATAGTTTCACTTTCTGCTTTTATTCCTTCCTCGATTTTACGTTTCATTCTTTCCTATATCTTGCACTGTTACAAAAATGGTCACTTCATTCACTATGAGGAAGAGGTGAGAAATATTAGCGTAAGTTTGGGCTGAAAGGCTATGAGTCATAAGAGGTATATGAAGGTGAAATCAACATGGTGCTTTAATAAAACTGCCAAATCATTTCCGCTAATGATGACAGTACTTTCTATTAGATCAACTCAATTTTTAGGCACAGAATTCGGATGGAATAAGGAAGGTGCGTACTTAATTTGAATAACATTGATACATTGTATCATGTGTATGCCAGTTCAAACTCGATATTAAGAAAGTGACTTGAAAAGCTGCTGATGAGTTCGGTTCAGGCAGTGAAGCGAACAAAACTATGTGGATGCCATATCTAAGAGCCAATGCCATGTCAATAAATGTCAGAGGGCGTGATGTTTCCTCTTCGTCACTTATTTTGATGACGGAAATATTGGCCAATTCGAAGCAAGTTAATACCTGGTAAACCTGCCAGTAACAATTTAGCAAATTAAAAAAAAAGAAAAATGAATTTCCAGAAAAACTGTGCCATCCTGTTTTCATGATGAAGATAGTGAGCTTCATCTGATCAGCCCAATTTATTAAACAATAAATTTGTATTGATATTGAAAACTTTCCCCCGAAATTTAAAGCAAATCAATGCCTTTAGTCATAGCATGTGCTCAAAATGGCTCCCTTGTTCTCGGATGCGGGCATCCAGGCGATGTTGCCATTCCGGAATAGCACCATCAATAATACTCTGCTCTGGATGTCCAGTGAATATTTTCATCCTTCCAGTTTGAAACAGTGCAGTACTTGACACATTGGGTCAATCTCCTACAATAGGACTAAACAATTTTTTTCATATAACCACATGATGTGTACGAAATACTTAACCGATCAGATAGTACAATTTACTATCATTCATGTTAAAAAAAAGCTATTTGGCACAGTTTTTTAAAACACCATGTAGGGGTAGTTGGTCTTTACAACTTTCACTCCCCTGATGTCTGTACCTTTTACAAAGCCTTCATTCCTTGTTCCATATCACATAACGTCTTTCTTATGCCTCAATTTGCAATGTTTCCAATTTTGTATGGAACATTCGGGCTCATACGGAAAGATGAGAGATCACATACGATTGCATCGTATCTAAATTTTTAATCGCATTAAGTTTGGGTTATTACAGTCCCTTTGCAGCCAAACGACCTCCGCATTGTAAACCGAACAACAAGAACTATCAAAATCAAATGGGATCCACCAAAAGCTTTAGACGAGGACCAAGAGCCCCTCATCAGCTACGAATTGTATTGGAATGACACGCATTCAAAAGTGAGTTATGTCTTCCACCCCAAAATTCTCTTGAAAACCTTAAAATTCACAGAAGTATGTAATAGAGACTCATGGTCGTGACTAACAGCGTGAGTGAGGGACTGACACTAAGTCTATATTCTAGATAATGCGAAGGCATGAAACTTGGTGCAAAAGTATCAAGGCAGCACACCACATTGGTCCCTTGTTGTCTGCGAGTGAGGGAACGTGGGCCCACATCGCAGTGGGCTGTCAGTGTGGACCCCACACAGCCAATATTGGGCAAGACATCAGTCCCAGTTATTTAAACGGAAACCCTTCGCACCAAGGAAGCGAGATGGCACCTATGTAGCCCCTACTTCAGTGGCATCAGGGAGTGACTCACTATAAGACATAGGTTCTTTTCATGCGGTATTTGATATTTTCCCACAGACAACGCAGGGGAAGACGCTCGAATTCTTAAACTCATTTGTTTAAATAGGTTAAGCAGTACAAGAAGACTACTGCTAATCGTGGAGGAAGAATGGATCAAATTGGGGATTGACTCGATGGAGTACGTGTGAATGCAACATCGTTCTTTTCATAGTACAGGCTGAGTCCGACTCCCCTGCAGGGATTATTATCTTTGCCCCTGGTAATATGATATGAGAGAGGATCACCTGCGAGTCATACTAGACAAGCACTTCCAGAGCGGGATAAGAGCCATGTGTATGGCGCATGAAATCACAACGCGTTCTAATCACACGCGGAAAGTGAAGAACATTGGTTGTAGCAGTACTTGCTGGAGTACTCCCAGCCAGTGTAAGACTCGGTGGCGAGATGCCCGTTGAGGAGCAGAACAGTGATATAAAAATTTAGCTCACTGGAAGACTGAGAGTCATGCGGCACGTCAGCGTCTGATGTTGTGGGATTCCAGCAATGGCTCAACCTAGAGTTTGATGTTGCGCCCAAGTGGGTCCGTGGGACAGGCCTGCTAGGGCCCAACCTTGGTGGCCAGCGTAGGGCCCACGTCGCATTTGTGGAATTCCAAGCATATGTTACCTGGAATTAGAATTCGCAGGCGGGGTGGTGGGCCCATGTCGGCATGAGCGGGATCGTGGTGGGTGTGGCAGGGTGGCATTGCTGGTTGAGGTCCCACCAAACATTGACGGTATTTGCCGCGTCTCGTCAGGCAGAAGGTGGGCCAGCGGTGGGAAGCTGACTCAAATAAGCAATTGGAATGGGCTGGCAACCTGCCATCTGTTGCCAGTTCATAGAATTACGCAGTTTCGAGGCGGTAATATGAAAGTAGGCGTCCCAATAGACGTGCCGTTCAAAAATTGCTTTGCTTCGATTATGGAGCTGTTGGCTCTCTCAAATTGTGCCAATCTCAACATTTTTCTGCGATTTACCCTGTTGACATAGTCCTGCTGTTCATTCACAGGTCTTCTTGTCTGGCCTATGAAATAACTTTTGGCTTCGGCCAGGCGAATAAAATGAAACAATATTTTCTGAGTTTTTAAGAAGTGGATTTTATCCCCAAAGAACATAATTTTTTTTCCTAATGAAACCATTGGAGCCAGTCGTCGTCGGTGCTGCTCATGGGGCTAAGGCTGAAACCTTGTGTTTTGTTTTCTCGTCAGGAAGATATATTATAGGCCTTGACCTAAATTCCATTATAGTAGCCCATTTTGATTGCATGCTTTTGCATTTTCTTTTGCTTAGGTCGGGGGGGGGGGGGGGGGGGGAGGT